TGCGAACGTTGCTGTGATTGGGGTGATCCGCTACCTTCGAATGTCGGTTAACGCAGTCAACGTAGCTTCCATTTGTACGAACGTATTCTATTCTATTCTAAAATATACATCAGTACAAAAATGGTTCGATTCCGTCCAGTAGTTGCAAAGATATGATGCATTGAAAATTTAGCAATATTTGGCAGCCTCGCATAAAATCTTTTGGCGGGCCTTATTTTGATCACATTGAATCGAAGCCAGGACATTATCTTTCGTTCGTATTCTGGGGGCTGTTTCACGAAATTTTAACTAAGATAAAATCCAAATTTTAGTAATTTGATTGGATAATATCAGATTGATTTTAGTGCTTAGCCAATTAAAGATGGCGACGTAAAATAATAACTAGAAATTATCGAATAAGCTTAAAATAACTAGACAGGAAATCTATAATATATCATCATTGATGCCACTGAATTAATTAAAATTATCATCCGTACCGTCATAAACCATTAGTCACGTGCTTATTCTTGAACGTGACTTGACGTCATATAATAGTCCGATTACGTGTTGTTCATTTAGTAGAAATTATGAATGAAAATTAACAGGGTGATATTGACAAAATTACACGTAATTAAAAAAATGAAAGAAAATGAATTGAAAAGCGTGTTTTACATCTTTATAATAGTACGCCTACTCTAAATTATAAAAACAATAGCATAAAAAAGAAGACACATTGGAACACGATTTATTCATTTTGATAATTGAATTTAATAGTCTAAATCCAGCAATATGATTATAATTCTAAACATGAAATAAAATAAAATGAAATGGGGTTTAACGTCCTACTTTTCTACTCCGACTGGGCTAATGAATATCGAGTATTAGTCGTGAGAAATTTGATATGCAAATGGTGCACCGGGACTTTAATGGGCGTAGTGATACAATAAAAAGAATCCGAGACAAATCTGTGTCGTCATCAGACAAATCTGTGTCGTCATTATTGAGATAGGCGCGTTGTAATATCTAGTTTAGTAGTCTAGGTTGGACAGGCCGTAGATTGTCGATAATTTGAACAAATTCCGTCAAGTCATCCTAGAGATACAGTGTTTTTAAAGTCACAACATGTCAGAATAAAATTTCAATATAGGTCTGTAATTTTGGACAATACCATACACAATAAATAGAACTTTTATTTAAAAATTTAAAAAAAAAAATCGGGCCAACAAATTATCGCCATTTAAATTTTGCACTGGTTTCTTTTAATTTTTGTATTTGCTATATTCAATTATTACGAGTTCGGTGGTTGTACTTATGGAACGTGCGGGATAAATACTTTAATCTCGGTGCGGTTGGGGGGTTGGATGGCTGAATGGTTAGCGTGCGCGCGCAGTATCATAAAGTCTGTCATTGAGTCGACTGGCGTGGTTTCGAATCCCCGGTTGTACGTGACAAAGAGTAGGGTCGGCTGTCCAACCTCGTGGGTTTTCTCCGGGTCCTCCGGTTTCCTCCCACTGCTAAAGACCCCTACGCGCAAGCGAATTATGTAAATAAAATTAAACCATATGTTAGTCCCGAAATGACCTAGTTTGTGTCGAGTGACGTTAAACCCCATTTCTCTCTCTCTCTCTCTCTCTCTCTCTCTCTCTCTCCAATCATATTATGTTTTATTTAAACATGCATTAAGCAAGAGCTAAATCTGCCTATTGCAGGTCTTTCTTTGGGCCTGAAATGTTATCTAAATTATTAATTAGACATTAATTAACATGAAAAGACCATAATCAACTCTCGATGTCATCTTATGTGTCCGATTTTCATTGGATTTGAATCCGATCTGCTGTTCAACGTCCATTGATGATTAACCGCAAAACTGGATAATCGAGACAATGTTAATTATCGTAAACAACGGTAACAATGACAATCGAGGCTACAGTGATTTTAAAATAAGGTTTTCTCGGCTTCGAGTGAAGCAATTTGACGGAAATTCCCTTTAAATTATCTATTTTTGAACTATTATAGTGAGAACTACCAGCTCTGTATCTTCCATAATGTATCTTTAAAAAACATAATGTATATTCGGAGGGGGGGGGGGGCGATGGTCGAATGGTTAGCACGTGCGCGCTGTATCATAAGGTCTGCTATTGAGTCAACTTGTGGTGGTTTCGATTCCCCGGTTGTACGTGGAGTAGGGTCGTCTGTCTAAGCTCGTTGGTTTTCTCCGGGTCCTCCGGTTTCTTCCCACTGCTAAAGACTCCTTCGTGCAAGCGAATCATTGAAATAAAATTCAACCATGTGTCTCGAAATGACTCTCTCTCTCTCTCTCTCTCTCCTCTCTCTCTCTCTCATAAAATATACCCAGCTCTGTATCTAATCTTCCATAAAGTATTTTTAATAAACATAAGGTATATCCAGGATCATTGCATTACACATGACTAATTAGAAACCCTAACACTCGTCACGAGACAAAAATTATCAATTTATAACTACAAATCTCAATTAAATCCTTTTACGCAATAATATTAAAACAAATTTTAATTAATTATTATACAATCACGATTCCTGCTATTCTAGAATCAACAATATCGTTTTCTTCATTAATAATATTAATTTCAAATTTAAATATCAAAATAAAATCATAGTCGTGACCTTCGAAATTTCAAAAAACCAATTAAAAGATGAATAATATAAATATATAGAGCTATATCTACACGACAATTTTCATAATTAACATTTTATACAATCTTTTCTGAGATCACGCAAAGAATTTAATTTCATGTAAATACGGAGAACTATAATAGCACGCTTTATATAAAAAGAAAAGCAATGCAATCAAGCTAATTGCAGACATGCTTATAGAATTTTATTTTTAGATTGAATCAATGGATTGCGATGCGTATTTACAACTAAAATGAATATATCCGATCTTTTATTCGATGTATAAAGTCGTGAGTTTTTGGAAATCAGCATAAATGGCCGGTGTGTAATATTATCTATGCATTTTCAAAATCAAAAAAAAAAAAAAAAAATCAAAACAAAGAAACAAGACAAAAACGTTATTTTCAGCGAGTGGATAATCCTACGATTAACCTAAATTTTGAATATGGAAATGGCTCAATGACGTCAAGATGACGTCATAGTTGTATTTAAGAAATATGCACGTAGTTCACGTTATATTAAACTTATTAATCGTATTGTTCGTGTTCGTGTTAAAACATCAAATTGAGAAAATATCTCAATGAGCAATCGCTGTTAAGGAAAAAGCATGGCGTTTAACGTTTTATCAACACTTTATGTACAATGCTAGGTAGGAGGTTTTTCCCCGGCAGTGGCCAGTTGGCCTACCCTTCATCGAATTCCGTCGGATTTTCGTCCCATCCGAACAACTAGGCAACACGTTACAAGTGTGGAAACCGGAATTACAAAGGACACATTAAAGTCGATAGCCCAGTGCTCTTACCCATTCAACAGCCCCCCCCCCCCCACACACACACACTCGTATTTGTTGAACACTTGTGAGACCCTACTGTCCAGCTACGAAACAACCAAATATGTATTAAGGGTCGCCTGCATATCCGCACCTCAGAGATACCCCCCCCCCCCCTACACACACACACGTGTAATAATAATGATATGTAATAATGTTATAATGTTTATTGTCTGTGTTTATCAAGGAAATTTTTATTAAAGACGATAGAACACGTATAAAATTACAATGAAGTAAAAATTAGAGCGACACGTTTTTCTATTTTAATTCATTAACTCTGCCATGTACAGTATTTTGTATATCACATATGAAATATTATTTGTTTTCCCAATTCTCCGTGGGAGTCGCGGAAATATTAAGGCCGCGTGTACGCCATTAGCAGCATGCTAAAGATCCCTTGACAGTTTGAAATTGAAAAAACAGTAGGTCTAAACGCCGCTGCCAGGGCCAAACCGTTTCTGTTTCCTCCATTTTTGTCAGTAGCGTTATTTAGCGGGAATATCAATGAACCATACCCCCCCCCCCCGCCCCTCTCACACACACACCCTTCTTCTTAAACCCCCTTGTCCTCGGGGCCTAGTTCCCTGATTTGATCGTTCTCGTATGATTTCGACAACGTTTCATGTTTTTCTCGCGGTATGTTTTTCTTATGGGTTACATTGTATAAGGTTTTGTGTGTGGTGCGCTCATCCCAGACATGTGAGATCAAACCGGTAGGTCTACGTCTCGGAGGTTTCTCCCGTGTGATACTGTCCTCTCAAATATTCATTCTATATTATAAACAATAAAACACATCGTTTTATTTATTTAATGTGGTTAGATTACAAACCGGGAAAGGGGTGGGGAAAAATACATTGTCGAGCGAAGCGAGGTGTCAATGTTTGAGTTGAAAGAATAAGTTTCTTGATGCGTATTTAAAAGACAAGAAAATAAAAATAATGAAAGAATGTAAGAATTGAAGGACGGGTAAATCACATCACAAGGATGGGTTTAAAAAATTCCAGTTCAATTACAAAGGTTTTTCTCTGACATTTGTTTTAAGCAAATTATTTAATATAAATTTTCATGACATTTTATACGCAGAAAATATCAATTGAGACACGAGTACGCGAATCAACATTTTTCGCGATATTCCTAATTCCGCTGATAATAAACCGGGTTAATTCCTCATCCAGAATCTATGAATATTTTAAACGTGTATTTAATACACATAAGCTTATAATTCAAGTCGTAAAAAAATAATAATTCGTAAAGAATTGTTTTCTAGAAGAAAACGGGTGATGCATCATAATTCACAACATTTTAAACACTTCAAGACAAGTTGTAAGAAAATACGGAAGAGAAAAAAACACCAGACACCGAAGACTAAAATACTGTTCATTTTCAAGGCGTTAAAATAAAATAAACATAACTATATGGACATATAATTCGGTTTATCCAACCGACACTCTTTTAAAAACGATTTAAAATAAGTGTACGATTTCCGTGAATTAAACATTAGGTATAAATAGGTAAAAAGCTAATTATTGATTCCACTTACCTGTTGACATCAAAGAACGAAGCACCCATGCCGAAACCAGGTGGCTGTAGAGGCTGTCTCAGCAGATCCCAGTGAAAATATGCTTGATCATTCATTTTTTTTAAAAGTCAATTTTACGTAAATATGAGAAAAACAGAAAATTGTCTAAAACTGATGGAGTCGCAGGTAGAATACTGTAGATGCACGTGTACTAGTTAATGCAATATGAAGACAGGTAAACCCCTCAGGTGTTCAGGAACTCTTGGAGTTCGTCTAATAATACGTACAAAACTACAGATTTCGTTGGAATTGGCATGAAGACTTGTTTTGTAAAATCTATGCGATTACAAGCCACAGCAGCGTTTGTATTTTTTTTTCCAGAATTTACACGATAAAAACAGTATGATGAATAACAAAATCTTAAATCTGAAATTCACGTGTTACATTATAATTGTATACTATATTTATCTAAATATTTCTGCAATATTATAATTCCGCCATCGTTCGAATAAATATGATCTTTAAAAAGGTGCATAGAATTCATATTAAAATTTCTTCATTGTCAAACATTGATCATTGTGTAGATGATAGGCCTACGTATAAACACATAATAGAAAGTCCGTATATCCGTTAGCGGGGTTCATTTTAAGCGTTTCTTTATAAAATCGTGAATAAGTAGTTAGAAAACTTCCTTGAAGGACAAACACAGTTGGTATTAACTTTCTGTTGAATGTCCTGTAAACTTGAAACACATGTAGTAATGCCGTGAAGGATTAACAGATCCTAAGAGTTATCCCCGTCCACGTGCAGAAGCAAAACACGTGCTTAAGTCAAAACATAACAAGAAAATCCTAAAATTCGTCGACTATTCTCCCGTTATTAGATCCGTAGCACACGTTCTCCCGCGACACGACTGTCGTCTGCTATTAACAGCTGCAGGGAAGGCAGTTAGTCATAATTCAAGGAGAGAAATGTAATGGCGAAGTCAATGTTTACCCAAAGAAAACTGGAAACACTTATAAACAAATTGACACAGTTACAAAAATGAATCTTGAATATTTTTACCTGTATAAGATGAAGCGCGTGGGCTACCACTCTGGTCTCGAATACTATTACTATGTAAACGTTACAGTTTTATAAACGTAGACGCGCAAACTTGCGTTCCTTTTCAAACGTAAATTGCAAGAATATCTAAAAATAAAAACCACGTACATGTATTTTGACTTAGTCTATTTAGAGAAACTTTTACAGTGACGCTAAATAAGAAAGTTTTGATTTTCTTTGGAGTTTCTTAGTTCTTATGTGACAGCTCACACTCAAATAGGGTAAAACCCCCCGGTTGAATCTCAGCCAATCCTTGACATCGACAGAAAATTCGTCTGCTGTTAATGACAGCGCGCCCTCTGGCGGTTGTATACTTCCAAGGGTTCCACAACATCTTTCGTCTTCATTCCGGCTATCTATAGACCTATAGCGTGAGCCACTTTCTACTCTAAATATAAAATCATCGTTCAGAAGTTGAATGTGAATTTCGTCTTTTGAGTGTGTGATGTATGAAAATGTCTTATTAACGGTCTACTGCACGTGTGTGTGTGTTGGGAGGGGAGGGGAGGGTGGATGTCCGAATGGTTAGTACGTGCGCGCTGTATCACAAGGCCTGTCATTGAGTCAAATGGTGTGGTTTCGAATCCCCGGTTGTACGTGACAAGGAGTATGGTCGCCTGTTCAACCTCGTGGGTTTTCTCCGGGTCCCCCGGTTTCCTCCCACTGCTAAAGACCTAGCTACGCGCAAGCGAATTATTGAAATAAAATTAAACCATATGTTAGTCCCGAAATGACCTAGTTTGTGTAGAGTGGAAAAAAATCACGTGGTTTCAATGTGTTTTTCAACATTATAATCATGATCATAATGCTCAACCAGTGTCAAACATATACTACAAATCGGCTCTTAGTATGTTCAATATTACTCCGTGGCACTGGGAGGGACTGCCACCCTACCCCTCTCCCGCACACACACATATAAATCGTACAAATATTTTTTTTTTGGGGGGGGGGGAGGGGGGCGGCATCTTATTCCTCTTATGGTCACCACGCCCCTGATCGGTGGTACGCCCCTACTCTTATTTTTAATTCTATGAGTCAAGGGTTCTTTACATGCACGCCACGGACCTCGGGTTTTCCTCCCATTGGACAGACTAGATGCTGTCATCGCCCGGCCCTTCGTCCGGCAAAGAAATTTCACTCATGGCGTATGTCCATCTTCAATAGCCGTACCGTGTGCTATGAGGAAAATGTCGCCCGGGCAGCGGAACTACGGTCTACCCTTATATCGAATTCCAACTGCTAAGGGATCTTTTACGTGCATGCTAATGAATACACCGGACCTCGGTTTTTCGTCCCATCCGAACGACTAGACACCCCTCCGTCCTGCACCAGTGACAAGAGGAAACCACGTCGCAAAATCCCGATGAACTTTCACGGCCAATGCATCGATCAAACCCGCGACCTCCAGGCTAGTGAGCCAGCGCCTTACCCACTTAGCCACCTTGGCTCCACATTAGCAAGAACGACCAACTCTTTTTATCTTAATCTTACAAACTGTATCTTTAAAAGCGTGATACCAGCCCCCCCCCCTTTTCTACTTTACACAAAATAAGTTAAAGTCTTTAATTCAATATCATCCACAGTCTTCAACATTGAAAACACGAATTATTGGTCAATTTAAATCAACATTCATGTTGTTATCTTACCGTGAAAAGATGGGCTCTCTGGTATCGAATATTTAAGACAGTGAAAATTTTAAATATGGGACACGAATATATCGCGTGCCAGAATGATTTCGAGTGCCATTTCTAATGAAGTGACTGGATGAACAAGCCTAACCATATCCCACAAGGGAATACTACCGGAGTAGACTGTAATAACCAGCTGCCAAAGACTGCCATTCAGTATGCACTCTTCGCGTATTTCGCCGAACATAACTGATTAGAAATTAGAGTTAAAACAAAAACGACTGAATGTAAATCGGCCATTCCCTGCAGAGAATGGGAGGGGCGGGGGGCCATTCATAGAGTGTTTTGTTAAGCGAGACCGATGTACAGAATCTGCATGCCACCACTTCAGGTGCCAGCGTTTTCTAAATTTCTCAAAGCCATGGTTATTAAATGTAAAATTCATCTTCATCTTCATCGTTTTTTCTTTTAGTAATAATAGTAATTCTCGAGGTTGTATTTCACGTTTCTTCTGACGTTCTGTCAGGTGGCGATCAAGATTCAGGGGAGATAACTACATTGATTCATGCTTCTTTGGATGCAGACCACCATTAACATTAATTTGCTATTGACATCGCTGTTAATTCTGGTCTCTTTATCCGGCTCCAACTTTTTTTTTACACATTTTCGTTAGGCTGAACTTTTTTCACTGCAAACAAATGACACTGAAATTTTGAAATACACAACCTCGAAGTAGCGTAGTAAAAAGACTGTGACTATCCATCGTACGTATAAACTGTAAGGGAGAGAGATAAATGGGTTTAACGTCCGCTACACACAAACTAGGTCATTCCGAGACTAACATATGGTTCAATTTTATTTCAATAATATTGAACATACTAAGAGCCGATTTGTAGTATATGTTTGACACTGGTTGAGCATTATGATCATGATTATAATGTTGAAAAACACATTGAAACCACGTGATTTTTTTCCACTCTACACAAACTAGGTCATTTCGGGACTAACATATGGTTTAATTTTATTTCAATAATTCGCTTGCGCGTAGGGTTCTTTAGCAGTGAGAGGAAACCGGAGGACTAGGGGAAAACCCACGAGGTTGGACAGGCGACCCTACTCCTTGTCACGTACTACCGGGGATTCGAAACCACGTCAGTTGACTCATTGACAGACCTTATGATACAACGCACATGCGCTAACCATTCGGCCATCCAACCGCCCAACAGGCTAGTTATGTTCATGTCATTTATAGTAGTAGTAATATTGCTCCACCATGCTTCCATAAGTCAAAGAATGACACTAGAAAGTTATAATAATCTGAGTCTAATTCAGATGTATACAAGAAATGACGTCACATTATTTTACATGTTGTAGTCTTGCCCAATCAGATTTCTTCTCTTTCATTTTTAAATCGTTGTCTTTATAGTGATGATCGACTTGATCGACTTTCTATAGTTCATTACCTCTATCCTGTGACGTTTTTGCTACCCATGGAATGATATACGCCAGATTTCATCAAAAGGTATAATTTTTTTTTAAATTTCTGGGGGATGCACCCCTACCCCTCACCCCTCCCTTCGCGCCATTATTTATTGGACCAGGCATACGTTCTTTTTAATTTATTAAAACACCCCTGTCGTATCTATCTCAATAATCCCCACCATATTAGGGAACAGAAAGAAGATGACGATTTGTGAAGATATATAAATTATTGTTTTTATTGTATATCCCAAGGTCTGCTCCCAGACAGATTCTAGTTTAGTAGATTAAGAACGTACATGCATAACATTATAATATACATAATCTCTAAATCATGCACCAATATTTATTTAAAGCTCAGCTCACAATCCGCGATGCGTGCTACTATGGGCAGTCTACGGGGAAAAGTTGAATAAACCCGTACGTGAGACTTACGCGTCACTTGCGTGTGTTCGGCACCGTAGAAGATCGCAGACTGGTCTGCGAGCTACCAAACTCTACGACCCGTTCGTGTCAAAACACGTATGGCGGATTGTAAGCTGGGCTTAAAATGGAGGCAGTCCACCAGTTACCTCCCCTATCTCGATATTCACGAATGTTTTTCCCGTTAATTTATAGCCCGCCATTAAACCAAAGTCCTAAACCCACTGACTTTCAATGGCGATATTTGGTGAATTTATTGTCTAGTGAGACGTAAGAATATCGTTGTTGTCTAGTGAGACGTAAGAATATCGTTGTTAAGGGCACGTTTACGAGACAAGAATTAACACAATAACAAAAACAAATTTGGTGGTCTGCATCCAAAGAAGTACGTTACCTCCCCTGGGAACTTATACCATATACATTTTATATATATTCAGAAATAGACAGTTTTATAGCGAAGTTATTTAAACGGGAAGGCCAACGATTTTCAACAAGGTTTCTATAAATATTAAATATATATTCAGCCCCCCCCCCAGGTAAACACATGCAAACATGTGATTGTTAGTCAGAAATTATTTTTTTTTATTACGCGGTTTTATTTCATAATTACAATGATATCTGTATAACACGATTTTTGGTTTGTATTTATGAAATCTTATACCGCGGTACTTATATAGCGCGGTTTGGGTGTTGTTTTATTGTGTCTTAAAACGCGGTTTTTGGTTAATATCTTTGAATATTTAATATCTCGTTTTAAGATTATGTGCGGTTTTAGATAATAGTATATACGCTTCGCCTCGCTTTAGGATTGTATTCATAATAATTTATGACGCGGCCCTTATTCACGAACACACCAATCTCTTAAACATCGAATGTAATTTAAAATTTGTTAAAATCGATTTTAAGGATTTCATGAATAAGGATCTGTGTTTTAATCAGATTGAGTAAGATTTGGATTTGAGTTATAATCTAATAAAGCGGCTTGAATTATATTACAGCACGATTCAGAGCGTATTAATCTAATAACACGGCTTGAATTATATTACAGTACGATTCAGATATTATTCATCTAACAACACGACTTGAATTAGGTCTATAACTACGAAGCTTTCCACTTAAAAGTTTTTTCACTTGATTCCTAAAATTGTCGTTAAGAAAGCCGTAAATTATGGGGTTAGAGGCGTTACTCACTAGGTAGGACCGAATAAAGATTCCGACGAAAACGAACTCCGCGTGGTTTAAGGTGAAGAAGAACTCAACCCCTAATCGTGTCCGGAGAATGACGATGATAAAAAATGGTAGAAAGCTCGTGAAAAAAAGAATAGTCACTGTAAGAAGCATACGAGTTGTCTTTCCTGGTTTATAAATAGATTTAAATCTTGTTGATCTGGTATTGTTTTTCTGAGAATCGACTTGTTGTTGTGGAACGTCCAAAGAGTCCATTTTCGGGACTTTATTTTTCCGAGTGAACGAAAAACGCGTATTTGGTGCTTCAACATTCCTTTCGTCTTCGGAATCGGTGAGTGTACCGTGGCCAGAAGTTTCAGATTCCATCTGGGTGCTACTAGGATCATCATGGATGAACAGGTGATTTATTGCGCACATTGGCTCACATTTTTGTCTACTTTTACTTTCTCTCGGATCTCCATCCACCTGATCTACAAGGATTATGGGTATTGTTCCAATTCCCACGGATTGTTTCTGCTTTTTATTTGTTTTTTTACTCGAGTCTCTTCTCAAAATTTTGTCCGATAATCTCCGCGCGCCCTTGCTTATTTTTGCCCTAGTTCTGGGTAGGGCAACCGGACTTATTTGATTATCGTCCGTAGAGTCATCACCACTCTCGGAGCCATGGGTGTTAGTTTGAACCGATATACTAGGAACTTGGGCTGGATTATCGACCTTGTTTACGGAATCTGGCGGAGGTTCCTCGGAATTAATCGCACTGAATTCCGAATTTGACAGGAGCTGCGTAGAGTGACTAGCACTGCATTCGGAACATGACGGGTGTTCGGAAGAGTGACTTGCACTACGTTCGGAATTCAAAGCATTATCCTTAGAGTGGCTTACAATAGATTCTGAATTTGACAAAAGTTCCTTGGGGTGATCCTCATTACAATCAGAAGTTGGCTGGAGTTCCCCGGACTGATTTGCACTACATTCGGAATTTGACAGGAGTTCCTTTGAGTGATCCGTTCTACAATCAGAAGTGGGCGAGCACTCCCCGGAGTGAGTCGGGTCACAATCAGAATTTGACGGAAGATCCTCGGGATGAGCTTTGCTATTTTGATAACAATGGGAATGATCAGCCCTATTACCGGAAGTGTGGTCATCAGTGTTCGTTCCACTATCTTCAGAAATAGGTGGGCTATCCAGAGAGTTTTCGGGGCCAGAAACGTCACCCGTAATGTGTTCCTCGGTTGGCAGTCGAACAGGTCTAGAGAGACTCCCCGTTCCCTCCACAAATCGTAGTTGACGTCCCCCAGTATCACCGCCTTCTTCGCTGGTACGTTTTGTCACGTGATCTCTAGTTGTCGTGGATTCGTCATGGCCGACGCTTGGACCATCTTCAGCTTTATTTGGGCTTTGTCTTAACGTTTCCCGACTTCGTCTTATCGTCTGTTTCTTTTTCAGAAACCTCATCTGTTTTATAATCCGCACGTAGATAATTGACATGGATAGAGCCACTGACAAAAAACACAAAGTGTACAAAATGTAGAAGGCGAGAGGATACCACGTGGTTGTCATGTCCTCGGATATTGAGCACGTGGTACCGTTAATTTCTGGCACCGATTTCGTGCCGTAAAGAACAATAGAAGGCCACGCTAACAGAAACGAAAACAAAATAGCAATTGAGCAGTAAATTCGTGATGTTCGAACATTGAAAAATGGCTGCAAGGGGCGACACACTTTGTAATACCGATCCAATGCGATGGCTAGCAACACAAGCGACGTTGATGAGTGCGACACGTATGTTATGTAGCGGGAAAACTTGCACAGTTCCGAATATTTAAATGTTGTTATTTCCGCTACAATATAAATCTCGAGCGGCATACAGATAATGGATGACATCAGATCCAACATTGATAATGTAAATATAAAATTCCTCGTTACTGTCTGACGTAATTTATATCCATAGATAAAACACGTGATACCGTTACCAAAGAGACTGATACACATCATAGCAACGATAAACAGAAACACCGGGATTTGATCCACATCAGTGTAGGCATTGCTCACCATTTTGGGATGATCAAAGTTTTTTTTCGTTGTTAATATAGTTTAACTCCAGACGAACCGTAATTTCACACTGTTAAGCAATCTGGTAACTTAGTTTAATTGTTGTTGTTTTTTTCTGTTCGGTTTTTAAAACATTTGGATGATGAAAGCTGATCGTTGTTGATATTAAATCCAGACAGTATTAAGTCACTTGTTCACTCAGCTCACGACAAGAGTTGTATGGCCTGTAACCACTTAGTTTATCAAATTCTTCCTCATCTCTTGAAATTGGATTCTTTGTAATTCATCATTTTTACAAAATAAGAATCATCGACAAGCAGAATTAATAACAGCATCCTGAATTTTGAGATATACGGAAGATTTTGATTTACATTGTTCTCTGGCAAACGATGATTTTTACGTTGTGTATTTTGTTTTATGAATGAAATTCAAGAGAATATTACTAAAACCGAAACCACTCGAGTTCATTTCCTTTTTCATGAAGCCCTCAGTATGAATCAGTATATATTCAGTCATTCTGGATGTCACTTTTAAATATTTCCTTCCACGCGATGAACATTTATGCTTTTCTTTTATATGTGTTTTGTGGTGCAATTCGTCCTTCTACACCCCTGCCTGTGTCGTTTAATAGAAATAGATACAGTTATAAATATTATATTGTTATGTTTATATTCCCGCGCATCCAGACGTTCTTGTGAACTTTTCAGATCAGCATCCTAATAGTCTCAAATCTCCGATGAGTTCCTGTTGTGACCCTGGTAACGTCCGTGATGACTGAAAAATAATAAAATTTTAATTAAAATCAATATAATTATGAAATTTCTGAGAAAAATAACTGTACAACACCTCTAGTCACTCAACATTAAGGCCAACTGCAGATTTCGTCAAGGTCGCGAGATGTAACTAGGGTTAGGGCAGGTGGTCGTTGACGAGATTGTGGGTTAGGGCTAGGGTTGGGGGTAAGCAGGAGATCATCAACCGTTGACATTGTGATTTGAAATAATCAGTCTGAATATATTTTAGCGTGGATCACGAAAAGAATTAGCTGCGTGCAGATCTCTGTCAATGATGACATTTGACAATACATGGAAAACTGTTTCATATATATCTTATTCGTTCTCTAATATTAAAATTGTTTCAAAAAGTCAATTCGGCCGTTAATATTATAATAGCGTTATGTGACGTTATGGTGGGAACTGTTAGTTATTGTTTATAAACAAAGAAATCCTCGTTGGTTTTTTTTTACATTATCAAGTCGTGTTGATATTTTTTGATATGGAAAAAGACTGGTAGGAGATTCTCTATTCATTGTTGTCTTCAGGTAGAAGATATCCAAAATTTTTATGTAATTGAATCACCTGCGTGATTAAGTTCAGAGAATCCAGGGATGTGTTCATGTATTTGAGCAGGGAAGGATTCTGGGAGGCAGCCCCCCCCCCACTAGTCATATCTAGATGATTCACTAACAGATTGTGATAAAGCGAAAACTTTTGAACAGACTTTTATTAGCTTCAAATGAACAATACAAAATACATGCATGATTGTCCATTTAAATTTTGATCTTTGATATTCATTTGCCCGATAGACTCTTATGGGCCCTGGGGCGGCGCACCGGTTGCACCCCCCCCCGCCCCCCTCGCCCCCGCGTTAGGCTGAGAGGAAACACAACTAGAGAGAGAGAGAGAGAAATGGGGTTTAACGTCCACTCGACACAAACTAGGTCATTTCGGGACTAATATATGGTTTAATTTTATTTACATAATTCGCTTGCGCGTAGGGGTCTTTAGCAGTGGGAGGAAACCGGAGGACCCGGAGGAAACCCACGAGGTTGGACAGGCGACCCTACTCCTTGCCACGTACAACCGGGGATTCGAAACCACGCCAGTCGAGACAAAACTAGAAGCTCTCAGGCAACATTTCCGCTCATTTAGATGTACCCGTGTACACGATTAGAACAGAGTGAGGATAAAATGACGATATTCTTATGTTTCTTATTCGATGTTATTTCAAGGAATGTAGAAGAGCAAAAATATGCAGGGGAGGATCCGGACCTCTAATTGGATCATCTGCCCACTTCTGGCCGCACCCCCTGGAATTCTAGTCACTCAGTAAAAACATAGGCGTAGGAGCCGGGGGGGGGGGGCAGAGGGGGCAATTGCCCCCCCCCCCCCCCAAAAAAAAAAATAATTTTTTATTTTCGGGCAATGAAAAATTCGACGACTTTTTTTTCTATTAACGTTTAGAGAAAAAATATAACTAACTTATTTCTATGAGATCCACACTGCCCGAAAAGTATTTTCTCGTCTTTTTCTTGTCCAATGCATGCCCGAAAATATGCCCGAAGCTCTCTTATGATAGGTATGCCCGAAAAAACGGTATTGTCCGAAAATAGGTATTGCCCGAAAAACGGGCATCGGGCCGGAAAAGCGGCAGAGGAAACTAGCAGTAAAACGCGTTTGCGACCGTCAAATATTCCAAAATTTTCTTGGCGGGTCAGTCGCCTCTCAAAGAAAACCGGCGCCGCTGTCTATAAATCCGAAATTTTTCGGGCATTTCTAGGTTTGCTTCCCTAACTGTCATCGAGCCCTAATAAAACACTAATTTTACTTTTCTTGTAATTGAATATCACGAATTTGTACTGAGTTGACTATGGATTAAAACATTTTGTCTGGAGCCACTCTACTTTGTGCGACATTTTTCAGGCATCCATTATTATTTGTGAATGCAGATGCAGCAGTCTGATTGGATGGTTAGAATTCAGAGTGGGATTTCAGTTACAAAACCATTGGATACTTTTGGAGTTGCTTACACGGGCTAGAATAGCAGAAAACGCATTTACGGTAATTAAATTTTCAAATTTTTCTCCGGGAGGGTGAGGCCTCCATATACCGCGCGACGATTGATTGGTTGTTTGGAATTCGGGTCAGCCAGGTAGGCTATATTGGACCAAATTGAAGTTGCTGTATTCACAGACTGGAATAACAGGAAAACGCGTTTGCGGCAGTTACATTTTCAAAATTTTCTCCCAACGGTCCCGTCTTCGTTGACTAAACGATTGATTGGAATTCGAGTCAGCCACCTTAATAAGGCTATAATATATATTCGACCACTTTGAAGTTGCTTTGTTCACCGGCTGAAATAGCAGGAAAACGCGTTTGCGACAGTTAAATTTTCAAAATTTTCTCCTAACGGTCCCGTCTTCGAGGACTGTAAACGATTGATTGGAATTCGAGTCAGCCACCTTAATTAGGCTATATTAGACCGCTTGAAGTTGCTTTGTTCACTGGCTGAAATATCGGGAAAACGCGTTTGCGGCAGTTAAATTTTCAAAATTTACTCCTAACGGTCCCGTCTTCGAGGACTGTAAACGATTGATTGGAATTCCGAGTCAGCCACCTTAATTAGGCTATATTAGACCACTTTGAAGTTGCTTTGTTTAACGGCTGCAATAGCAGGAAAACGTGTTTGCAGCCGTCAAATATTCCAAAATTGTCTTTGGGGGGGGGGGGGGGGGGTATACAAGGTCGCTGCTGTCTGTAAACCCGAAATTTTTTCGGGCATTTCGGGTTCTGCCCCCCTAACTGTCATCGAGCCCCTACGCCTATGAGTAAAAACAAAAGCTATATTCCCTAGAATTGCGTCATGTGCATTTCCACGAACAAGCTGCTCTAGAAGACATTCTCCCCATCGAATTAAACGAACCTAGAAGGAAATCATATAATGATTTTAGTTATTCGACCTCTCCCCCATAAAATCTTTACAATTCCTTGTAATTAATTACACAGAATTATTTCCTCCTTAATGACATAAATTATAAATTTTATTGAATAATAACTTTCTATTTGTAAGGAAATGTTGACTTAGACGGATAATACTTGAAATATAAGATTCAGGAAACTACATACTTCAGTTTGATCAACAGACTTTGACTTGAGTTGGTTCTCGAAGAATCTTCAAATATTACAATCTATTAAAAATTTCCGGTTTCCTCCCACTGCTAAAGACCCCTACGCGCAAGCGAATTATTGAAATAAAATTAAACCATATGTTAGTCCCGAAATGACCTAGTTTGTGTCGAGTGGACGTTAAACCCCATTTCTCTCTCTCTCTCTATTAAAAATTAAGCTAAAACATACATTATGACGTCACAATAATAATGACGTCATTGTAATAATCATATTAAACATACATTATACAAGAGCTAAATCTGCCTATTGTAGGTCTTTCATTAGGCCTGAAATGTTATATTAATTATTAAGTAGACATTAATTAACTTATCCAGACCATAATCAACTCTAGATGCCATCGTTACCCTGCGATTTTTACTGGATTATAATCCGATCTGCTACTGAACGCTCATTCATGATTAAATCAAAAATGGATAATCGAGACTATGTTGTTTATCGTACCGACTTTAGTAATGATGATCGAGGCTAGGCCTAAAATTCAATCGCTAAATTCTAGGTTCAGAGTAGAGCAATTTGACTGAAATTTTCATCAAATTCATTTTACATTATCTAGTTTTTAACTATTATAGTGGTAACTCCCATAATGTATCTTTAAACTGTGGGATTTATCAATTTAAGCCGTTTCTAATTAAATCTATGGATTATGACTGGTTTCTTGTCGTACGATGCGTTACGATTATAGAATTGTCCATATTGAATCCACTATCTACTACGTTCAGATACGTTACGACTGACTTCAATATATGCACACTGATCCGCAGTGAATATTTGCTTGGCCGCGACAATCACTGATAAGAATGACATTGATGCGGCTTAATGAGCTAGAAATATTAACTTTTTTCCTGCGACAAATTAAATTCTAAAACATTTTTTGTATATATTGGAAAAATAAATAAAGGCGTTTGACGTATTTGTAGGTAAAAATTTTTTCCGATTTAGTGTAAATGGGTATTAAATTGACTAAAATGCAGCATTCTCTCCGAAGCAGTTATGTCTTATGTAAACAATGCACGCGCCATTCAGCCAATGATTCACACCGCGTGCTGTGACAGCACGTGTTAAGGCAGTCTCATCTATGACAGAGATATTATACGAGACTCGTAATTCTCTGTAAAACAGATTGCAATATATGATAGGATCACCACGATTACTCCGCGTTTAAAAGAGAACCTAGCATAATTTAAATGAAATGCGTCTACAGTGTGGCTATGAGGGAAGTTTTGTGGCGATACAGTCTACTCTTATTATCGAATTCCAACTGTCAAGGGATCTTTTACGTGCACGCCAATGTGTACACAGCACCTCAGTTTTCGTCCCATCCGAACGACTTGACAACTGTCCTTGTCAAGCCCTCAATCCTCCACCACAACGGTAAACCACGCTGGAAAATCCCGATGAGCTTTCTCGTCCAACACCGTGATCGAACCCGCGACCTCCAGGCTAGCGAGCCAAGGTCTTACTCACTGAGCCACCGTGGTTCCCTTGACTAACATAAACGATTTAAGTGATGATTGTAACCCATTCACTTAAAAATATTAAAAATCTTCATTTATTTAAGAAAAATATCACTAGGCATGTTATTTCTTCTTCTTAACCTGTAGCCTATATTTAATATATCAACTACTTACATTATCTATCATATAACTTTTAGTTTTGAAGTTAAACTATTTAGCTTATCAATATATATTTGAATTTTTTGTGTGTGAGTATTTGTTAAGTGTCTTGTTCTGTTACTGTCTTTTTCATTTCTTGTTATAAAGGGCAAAATTGTAAACAGGCTCTAAGCCTAATTTTTCACCTTTGAAA